AGAAAAACGGAAAAAAAAAAAAAAAAAAAAAAAAAAAGAAATCCACCATCCCTGCCTGTGCTTCCCAGAACTACTGCAAACTCATGCTGGGGAGATTATGTGACTGGATAAACTCTTAGTGAAAGCTGCTGCAGGAAGCAGCGCTGGAGACCTCGGTGAGCAGAGACAGACAAACAGTCACTTACCCCCCTGACAGCACCGGGGACACGACCCTTACGAACGGCGGATCAAAAGGGAAGTTATCCTGGAACAAGAGAAGGGAAGCAAAGCCACTGAGAAACATCTTCTCTGATGACTCACAGAGCCAGGCGTATCTCGAGGAGGGGGAGGAAGCCTTACTTTAAAGGAGAAGTTTAGGAGGATGAAATCTGTGCCTTCTTTCTCTTTGAGGATCTGGAGATCGTTGTGCAAAGCGCTGTCCTCGTCAACCCTGCCGAAGGCAAAGCCCAAGCGGGTCAGAGCCGAGGCTGCACAGCTCGGGCCGGCCACGCTCGCTGCCACCACACCCCAGAGCTACTGTACCTGCACAACCTGGCTGCCAGCGGGCCCGCGGGCGCTCACCCAGGGCAGCGACAGCACGGGCTGTCACCATTCTGCTCCTGGTTTGCAGAGAAGACCATCACACCCTTTTTGCATGCTGCCAGCTTAAAAATAAAGACTGCCTGGCCCAAGGAAAAGGCAGCAGTGGTGTCTGCAGGGTGTGAAAGTTCGGGGGTTTGTCTGATGCACCTCTTCCAGGACTCTAGGAACAGCAGACAGACTTGCAGAGCCCTCAGATTATCTCTGAAGATGTCACCTCCTTTCTGATGCGGAGACAGCAAACAAGCTGCCCGAGAGAGTCTAAACCCAAGGTCCGCCCGGTGCTCCCCTGCCCTGCTCACTTCCCCTCTGCTCCCCCCCCATCCACCACAGTTACAGTTGCACGATCCCAAGCTATGGCACCTACTTCAGGAGTTTGACGTTCCAATCGTACAGGCTGTCGTTCACTAGTTCAACTGCATAGTATCCTGGAAGGCAGAGAAGAGGCGGGTCGCTACGGGGGGAGACTGAACAGGGGGGGGTCGAGCATTTCAAATCCCCTTGGCCCTGCAGCACCTCAGCCTGGCACAGCCCACCCTGAAAAGCAGCACTTATCCAGAGGGACCATCCTGAGGGCAGTAGTTTTCCTACGACTGTTCTCTCTGAGCCCTCAGGCTCAGGAAAGGGGTAGAAGCACCATCACCCTTAAAGCCTTGAATCCTCCCACCCACAGCACACTCACTTCCACCCAGCACCGGCAGAAACAGAAACTGCCAGGCAGTTTTGCTCCCTCTTGAGAGAGCCACAGCCACCGAAGGCCGGAGATCCTCTGCCCAGCTGAGCGGAGCAGAACAGCTCTGAGGCCCGTAAGGTGCTACCCAGAATGAGGAGGAAAACCCTGGCATGAACAGCAGAGCAGCAGCCTCCTCCCCTGAGCTCCCCGCAGCACTCACCGCCCTTGAAACTTGGTGATCGGTAAATATCCCTGAGCTCCTTCATTAGCCGGTCGGTGGCCTGCACAGACCCAGACACTGCACCCTGCGAGGAATTTGGAAAGGAAGTTGCATTGTTACACTGCACCCTCACGGCTGTTGCTCTACGAGGCTAAAACCTGAGCTAGAACTCCCGTCCAGCCTCTAAACTAGACCTTACCATGTCCCCCACCTGTGTCTTCTCCTACAACAACTTCCCTCGCCCCGAAGAGGCCACCCCAGGCAGTGCAGCTGCAGCAGAAACGCCTCCGTGCGCTCTCCACTGCGCCAGAATCTCAGCCCGGGAGTACAAAAGCACAACCCACCAGCCACCTCCACGGCCCAAAGCGAGGTGCAGCTCCTGGGAGCAGAGGGGAAGCCCTGCAGGAAGGCTGCCCCACGTAGCACTGATGCCTCGGAGGCACCCCACTTCCCTGCGCTGCAGAGGCAGCTCACAACCTCCCTGCACCAGCCACGCCAGCCCCTGAAGCCGCTGCTGTACCTCGGCCAGGGATGCTCCCTCTGACTTAGGGCTTAGCAGGTGCCTCCACTGCCCTTGGGTCCCTCTGCTTCCCCAACCCGCCCGCCCGCCGGGCGACACGTACATTTAAGTAATCTTGCCTCTGGTTCTTTTTTATTTTCTCTAAAATGGCCAGGTTTTCCTTCCCAATGCCTTCATCCTCTGTCTTCTTCCCATCTGCTGGCTCTTCCTCTTTCATCTCATAGTGGTCCAAGTCCTCAGTGTCCTGGGAAGGGGAGAGGGGAGCTGCAGGAGATGCTTCTTCACTCCTCCCTGCTCCAAGTGTTGTGGATGGAAGCTGTCCTGAACCAGGAACGATTCCCAGTGCAACCTTCCCTCCCCAGGAAGCCCCAATCCGAGGCACAAACACGGCAGAAGACACAAGGCCTGGGCACACTCAGTGAAGAAGTTACAGTCACTGAGCCCCCACTGCCCTCCCTTAACAGAGCCAGCAGGCAGAACGGCACACTTCCCTTTCCAGAATTCAACAGGGCTCATACAAGCTCTTTGTTTGCTGGATTCTTCCCTGCCAAGTCTCACGTCTGTTTATAATTAGTCATTAATCTTACATACGCTCCCCGCGAGCCCCGTGTAACTGACGGGCACTTGCATCTCAGCACGTGCGCGGCACGAGCAGGCCCACACTGAGTTTCTGGGAGCGTGGAGCGAGGCTCAGGCTCAGCACAACACTGCCAGGCCACGCTGTTCCCCCCCTCATGAGCACAAACTCAACACGAGCACAGGCAGCACAAGACCCACCCCCACACAGAGAAAATTCCAGTGGCGCAGGACGTTCGCCCCTCAAAAAGGTTTCACAGCATGTCGAGGCTCAGCTCTCCAACCCACAGCACACCCCCTAACCCTGGCAGAGGCTCTGCCCCTCGTTAACAACACTCATCAGGCTGATGTGTGCGAGACCCTGATGTTAATAACCAGTAAAAACCAGTTGCAGCAATCAGGGGCCACTGCAGAGATCTCACCCCCCCACGGCACAGTGGCTCCCACACTGTGCCAGCACACAGGGTTCCACTGCCTGGACTGTGGGTGCTGGTGTTAAATCCTCCCAACAAGTGTTTACTTTGGCCTCTCCAGGCTGGTTGCTATTCTGGACGAGCAGCATTTTTGGAAAGGCTTTGACATTTTTAGACTGTCACACAGAGGGAAATAGATCCTCCTAGAAAATCCCTCGAGTGGATTAACCTGTGTAACGCATCTCCGCACCAGGGCACAGCTCTGCTTTTCCGACACGGCCCAACAAATCCAACTGCTCGGCAAGAAACCTCTGCTCCAGGGCAAGAGCGTCGTCCCCGCACGGCGTTAGCAGAAAGCACGAGGGGGAACACTCAGTTCCCAAGGATTTCTTTTCCAGCCCACAGGAGCGTGAGGACTCGCACATCACAAATGTGCCACGAAGCAGCAAGTCTGGAAACACGCGAGGTTACGCTGGCACCGGTTTAAATCTCCTCGTTTTCTCCGGGGACGCTGGCAAAGGTCGGCCTTGATTTACCAAGTTATTCACTTTGCTAAAACCCCAACAACTGCCAGGCGTGCTGCTGCTAAGTGACCTGCCCCCGGGTTCTGCAGTGCTGCTGACTCGGTGCCCGTGCCTCTCACCCCCCAGAAGTGTGCGAGGCATCGCTAAACGTCACCATGGAGATTCAAGATTATTCCACCCACTTCTAGAGATCTCGAAACCGCAAACCAAACAACCGAAGCCTGTGGGTTTTGCAGCATGATATTCTCAGCCTGCAGTGAAGTATGGCTGCCTCTGCCGCTCCTGCCAATTAGCTCGCTCGCATACTCAGCCATCCTACCTAATCCTCTCTGCGGGAGTTCCATTTTCATGGTGTAATTTCCCCGCCAGCAATGGCAGCCCGGAAATCCCATCGCTTGCGAGTAAATTCCAGGCTCTAGAGCGGAGCAGCGTGAGCCGAGAGAGAAACCATCCAAGGGGCTCCACTCTCAGCTCGTCTGGATGCCTTCAGGGGCCACGGCCAAGCCTCGTGGCGGCTGCAGTCCCCTGTGGTTTGTGAAGTCACTCCCACCCATGGCTCAGGACATGGGTCCCCAGCAGCAAAACGCTGAGAACAATCCAGCCTCTGAGCCAAACCAGGCTCTTCCCTGTCTGAACTCCACGAGCTCCTCCCAGACACGGTCCCTCTGCACCTTTCAGTGGGCATCTCCCTGCGCTCAGCTCTCCGGTGTACTTCCTCATACAGCGAGGCGGCACTTACCTCCGGCATCTCTTCATCTTCCTCTTCAGAGGATACCTCTTCCTGTGTGCTCTGCGGGGACAAAAAGACAGAGACGAAGATCGCACCGTCAGCTTCCTGGGGCAACGCTCTCCTGCCTTCTCAGGCACTTCTGAGGCAAAGGTAAAAAAGGATTTACAAGCAAAACCAAGTTAAAAGCAGAGAGAAGCCAAGAACCTTTACAGAACCAAGTTAAAAGCAAAGTGAAGCCAAGGAAACCACACCAGAGCAGCTCAACAGCACCAAGGGCCAACAGAGCAGGCTGGCATCCCCGAGGACAGGAATCCACCCCAGGGAGAGATCAGCACCTACCTCCTTTCATATCCGCATTCCTCGTTCAGGGTTTGGAAGCCTCAGCCACCAAAACAAACTCCAGAGAACTCATCTTATGAGCTCAGAAAGTCTCCTCCTGAGTTACTCACCTGTTCTGCCGGCAGAGGCTGGTCCAGCATTTCAACATCTGGATGTTGGGGGAGGTTGTAGAGTTTGCACAGGTCGGAGATTATTCGCTTCAGGTGCTGCAAAAGCTGTCCCAAGAGCAGACAAGGGTCAGAGAAGCACAGAGACCCACATGCCAAGCTAAGCCTCAGCTGTCTGCAGCGCTGCGAACCTTTTTGTCGCAAACAAGAGCTGCTCCCTCCTGCTCCAAGCAGTGATGGACTCGGGGGGGGGGGGG